CACACTGCCCCCTCACACACACACATACTGCCCCCATACACACACTGCCCCCTTCACAGACATACTGCACCCATACACACACTGCCCCCCTCACAAACACACACATACTCCCCCAATACACACACTGCACCCTTCACACACACACACACACACACACTGCCCCCCCACACAGACACTGCACCCCTCACACACAGACATTGCAACTCTCATACACACACACTGCACCCCTCATACACACACTTCACTGCTCACACACACTTCACCGCTAACACACTTTGCATCTCTTACACATGTTGCATCTCTCACACACATCACCCCTCACAAACATTGCCCCCTAACAAACACACACACACATACATTGCACCACTCCCACACACATATTACTGCCCCTAGCCCCTGCTACAGCCCCACACACACATTACTGCCCCTAGCCCCAGGTAAGTTGTCAAATGGTTCTTAAACAGCTTGACTGCTTACTCTGGAAGGATTCTATGGCACTCCTGGGACCATAACCACTACAGAGAGCTATAGTGGTTATTGTACCTGGACTGACCCTGTAAATAATCTCCAAGTGCCCCTCCTGAGATTAAGTTCTGGATCCGTCCTTGATTCCCTCCCACACATACATATCTCTGTCCTATCCCCCAAAAAACACATGGGTTCCCCTAAGGGGCATTAAACAGATATGCCCACTTTGTAGAGGCAATCAGGTCATTGATGTTGACACAACATGCACCCTTTCAAGCCGCGCCTCTCCTAGGGCTGCTCTGTTTTTAAATGCTCAGGCTGAATTTTTGTCCCAGTCTGGCCCTGGCTTAATGTAGTTGTTCTGGTGACTATAGTCAGTCCCTGGAAGCTTCTTGCTGTAAACAGTGTCTGTTCAGAGAAGGCAGTGTTTACATTACAGCCTAGGGACACGTCCAGTGGCCACTCCTCAGACGCCACTAGAGGTGCTTCCTGGGTCATTGCTGTCCAGTGTTCAGCATTGATAATGAGTGTCTCCACCCTCTGCATGCAGACACTAAACTTTCCTAATAGAGATGAATTGATCCAATGCATCTCTATGATGAGATGCTAATTGGCCAGGAAAGTATTTGGCTCCACCTTCCAGACCACCTTCTTATGGGAAAGCATTGTGATTGGCTGAGATCATCACTTCTGATGATGTCAGCCAATGTGGAAAATCAGGGTCAGGGAGTGCCAGGGGGAGCTAGATAGTGATTTTAACATTCTAGGGTCAGAAATACATGTTTGTGTTCCTGACCCTATAGTGTTCCTTTAACTACAATTTGATATTTTTAATAACTGCCACCATGCTTTCTTGAAAACATATATTTTATTCATATTGATTTATTCATATATAAGTCGTACAATAACAGTGCTTTCCTGCAGAATCCAAAAGCTGTTGGAAGGAAATGCTAATTAATCTTTTGAGAAAGACAGCAGTATTTAATTCTGCATCTTTCAGGGCAGTTCTGTTTATGTGGAATAACACATAACCTTAGATCTAGCAACCTTAGACTGGCAGCATGAACATGTCTTCCAATATTGTCAGTCAGCATTTACAAACATACAAAATTAAGCCCTGCCTCAAACTCTAACTTCTCCTGGGTGGCAGCAATTACTTTAGCACACATCAGCCCAAATACATACAATAAAACCAAAAACACAAAAAAAGTGACTCGCGCACTATCCCAAATCTCTCTGCACATTTAAATAACTATAGTGCCCCCTCCTTCATGGTCCCCCCATGGTGCTGAATGGGTAAAAAAAAAACCTTCATCACTAAGTTAATTCCAGTGCCCTCAGTGCTGGTTCACCTCCGCGCTTCCACCAACATCAGCTGGCAGGAGGAACTAATGTGCATGCACTATCAGCTCCGCGCTAGCGTTAGGACTTCCCCCATAGGAAATCCTTGTATAATGTTTTCCTATGAGGTTTTGGTTGACTATGGATGTCCTTTTGTAGAGCGTGAGGATGTCCAACGTCAGCTAGACAACCAGAAGTCACCTAACACCCAGAAGTCCTATAGTGGCTGTCTAGTAAACAGCCACTAGAACTGGAGCTAACCCTTCAAGGTAATAATTGCAGTTTGTCAAAAACAGCAATAATTACAATTGCAGGGTAAAGGAGCCTGGGATACTCATCACATCTCAACTGAACCAGCCAGGCATCACAGTGTGGGGTGCACTGTCCAGCAAAGGTAACACCGACTTTAATAGAACTTTGGATAGTAACAATTACCTAAACTTGTTGTGCGACGTAGTAGTGCCACAACTCAGGGCTAACTTTGCTGAACAAGATGGGGCACTTATTTATTATGCTTTTGCAGTAATGAACTACATTGATAACACCTTCCAACAGCATTGGATCGGATGATGTGGCAGCATTGAATTGCCGCCACATTCACCCAACTTAACATCAATGGACTTCTTTTGCTTTGGGGTGTAGAAAAGAATAAGGTTTTGAGAATAAGCCTCAGTTCATCTCGGTAAGCATTTATGGATATTGATGCGAACCGGAATTTGTACAGTACTATGTGTCACAGTGTACTGGACAGGTTTGAGGAATGTTGCAATGTTGATGGAATACATTTCGAGCACTTACGAGAGTAAGTAGTGTTGAACAAATATAAATGTAATAATGTAATGAAATGCAAATAAACTATACTGTATAAATGATCAAAAAGAGAGCGCATGTATTACAAGTAAAAGACCTATGTAATAGTCTATATATAATCAAAATAAAACAATAAAAGATAGTACCCAATGTACTCAAACAATAATAGCTGCTAAAACAAAAAGAATTTTCCCAATTCCAAAGAACAAATGTAAATATAAATTTCAGCGCTAAGTAGATAATCCCCTTAAAAATAAAAAAGGTGCATACATATGCAAAGATGAAAAAATCAGGCAAAAAAAAAAAAGTGTCCAAAAAGTATAGTTCTGTAACAAAGTCCTGCAATGAAAAAGTCCAAATAACGTTGTGATATGTAGAAACTCAAAAGCATGTGGAAATACGTTAAATAAAATTTGTACTCATCATAGTAGATTATGCTGATAAAATTCTTTCAAAGCCACTCATATTTTTCCCCAGAGACAGCTCCTCTCCGGTGCACTCAGGAGGGCTGCCCGTGATGTTTTCTATGGAGAAACGCTGACTGCCCTCCTGTAGTCAGAGTAATTTAGCAGTACTATCCCACCGCCTTTATCTGCTAAGTTATTTTTTCACAATACCTTTTTGAAGTCCTTAGAGTGCTATTTTCTACTTTCCTGTATATATTATTTTGCTTGATCAGCACCGGGCTTTATGAAAATACAACTGGAGTGCAAGTATTTGGATATTTTGTATTATTGGTCTGAATAAGCAAAGGACCAACTATGCACCCGTGTAATACATGTTTGGAATATATTTGAGTAGTACATGTTTATAGCTCCTCATATTGAAACAATTGAGGATATCTACAGCTATATGTTTTTGCATACTTTTTTGCTTAATATATTCAACACTGCCACACAATTTTGCTAAGGGCACCTCACCATATGAATATTAGTGAGAGTGTAACCAGAATCGTAAACGTATATCCTTGGATGATATACACACTACTTTCTCTTTTTGTACACATTGTATACACACGGGTGCCTTATCCCTATGGAAGAATTTTTTTCACAAGCCGGGGGCTTATTGGAACAAGTGGAGACATTACAATATACAGAAGAAGACGCTGAACGGATTAGATGGGAAGAATTGACTACAGACCTCCCTCAAACAACCACACTGAAAGAAATCTACCTAGAACTGATACGGTTGAAAAAGAAAGAGACAGACTTGGATCTCCATGGACTATTCCTATCAGACTACCACAGAAGATTGCAAATACCAAGGGGATTTAGAATTAAAAATATCCCCACGATTGGCCGATCAAAACCTAAGATCTGTAAAAAATGGATCGCTGTACTAAATAAATGCTCCCTGGACCTGATCCTTATTATCATTGAGGATGTAAAAGAAGATCTTGTTAAAATAAGACAACGCATCACTCAACTTGAAGCAAGGGAAGCATTATTACTGACCTCGCCTGAAGCAGCCCCTACCATCTTGAGACTTGAACAAAATGTGAAAGACTATAAAACAGACTTAATTCGATTCAAACGTGAAAAACAAGAAAAAGTCAAAAGTGACTATACGGAACACAGAGTCTACCGGTGGTTAAGTGGCCAGAACGAGGTCCCACGTTTCGCACGAAATAGAAGACCCATTAGGAGACCAAGGCAATACATGATAGACAGAACCTCAGGGGAGTCCACCTCAGATTCAGACCCTCAACCGATAAAAAGTACACAACAAACACCCCTTTTTTTAGAGAAGGGAAGTACATCAACAGGCACGACTACGAGACAACGTGCCAGACAAGAGTTCGAGGAAAACGACACATTACAAGAAGAGGACAGAAGGGTAGGATACACTGGGCCAAGAGGCAGACCACCACGCCGGAGATAGCACCAATCTTTAATCTATCCTCACGCCAACTCACGACCCTAGAGAGTAATCTCCTGATGAAAGGTCTTTCCTTTGTACCCACTACTCAACCTAACCCACTTACACAGGAAGTAGAAATATATAAATTTGGGAGAACGCTAAGACTTAAGGATTTTTTTAAACAACAGAGCACACCCAACCTACCGAAGAACAGGTTTAAAGCCAAGAGCACCTGGGATCCTCTACCCAACCAACCCACTATCAAAACGTTCCTGAAATCCCTTAACTTTGAAACTCAATTACACCTTAAACAATCAACCACACAGAAAACCAACATCACAAAAGAAGAACGAAAATGCATTACTTCACTAGCTAAGGACCCCAGCCTCATCATTCGGCCAGCAGATAAAGGCGGTGGGATAGTACTGCTAAATTACTCTGACTACAGACGGGAAATCCTCACACAACTTGGGGATTCAAACACATATTCTAAACTTGCCGCTGATCCTACTACATCAATTATGTTAAATATTCAATGCATTCTACAACGAGGTTTGGAAGCCACCTTTATCACTCAAGAACTTTATGATTTCTTACTACAGAAAAACCCAAGAACGCCAGTCATCTACACACTGCCAAAAATACATAAAGATCCCATATCACCACCAGGAAGACCCATAGTTTCAGCAATAGGTGGGGCATTAGAACCAATAGCCAAATGGCTGGACCACCTATTCAAGCAACCTGTTGAGGAACTACCCACATGCATCAAAGATACTCCAAGTCTTCTCAAATCACTGCAACAGTTCACTGGATTGGAACCTGACATCACTTTCATAACATGTGACGTAAAAAGCCTATACACAATCATTCCACATGATATGGGCATCAATGCCATGCGGAGGATATTGGCATCATCAACATCATATACAGGACCACCAATTGAGTACATAATGGAACTTCTTCATCTGGTACTCAGTCAAAACTATTTTAGATTCGAACAGACCCGGTACAAACAAATTGCGGGGACTTCAATGGGAGCCGCTATGGCCCCGATGTATGCCAATAGCTACATGTATATATTTGAGCAAGAACAGATACTCATACCGTTCCATGACAGTATACTATTTTATCGTCGCTTCATCGATGACATCTTTATCATCTGGAAGAACGTAGGACCCACCCCAGATGAAATGCTCAACACTATTAACAGCCTGGACACACCAGTTCGTCTGACAATGACTACAAGTGACAAACAGATTGACTTCCTAGATGTTCGCTTATATCGGGAAGACGATAAAATAGCATATACGCTATTCAGCAAACCAACAGACAGGAACACTCTCCTTCACGCTAAAAGTCACCATCCTAAACATCATATTCGCTCACTCCCACAGTCACAATTTATGAGAGTGATACGTAACAACTCCAATATAATCAACACCCAGCTCCAACTACAAATTATGTGGGACAAGTTCCTGTCACGAGGTTACCACTCAAGAGACTTAACAAAGGCACTAGACAGATGCTATGAAGTACCGGTACACAACACAGCTAAAAATGACAGACTGGTTTTCCCTATTACGTATACAACCATATCAGATGACATCAAACGGTCGGTGAACCATAACTGGAGAATGTTACAGAATGACACAAGTCTACCAGTACAATTTAAGCAGCGCCCAATGATGTGCTACCGGAGGGGAAGTAACCTGAGGGACTTACTGGTTAAAACCGACCCTACACACTGTTACAGTCAATCAAATACACATCAGAACCTGGGATGCTACAGATGTTTAGGCTGCGTAACATGCAGCCACATGATCCCTAGCAAAACTTTTACTCATCCTCATACAGGCAAAAAATACCTCATAAGACATAGACTCACCTGCACAAGCGATTTTGTGGTATACAAATTGGGGTGCCCCTGTGGTTTAATGTATGTAGGGAAAACCGATCTACCACTACGGGAGAGAATACGTAATCACCGTTCCAGTATACGGGTAGCCTACAGAGATAAAAACTCAGAACAGCCGGTGGCAAAACATTTCTTAGAGTTTAACCATCCTCTTCCAACTATGAAATTCCAGGCAATCGACCATATCCCACAACCGATACGTGGTGGTGACCAAAAAAGGCTCTTACTACAGAGGGAGTTACACTGGATCAGAACACATGATACAGTACAACCTAAAGGACTCAATGAAAAATATACATTGGGCATCTTTATTTGATCAGCACTTTATAGACCTTATATGATAGGACTCATATTGGCTATTATCTATTCCATGTCTATATGCATATCCAGTCCCCTGGCAAGTAGGGGATAATTTCCCCTGTTTTTCCCTTTTTTTCCCTTTTTTTCCCCTATTGTCCACAGGGATCCATATTTAAGATTTCATATTAATCATTGTTTTCTTTATTGAGCATCATTGTATAAAAATGTATGTATATATGTAATTATTGGAATTGGTATTGTTGTTTCACATATGATATGGACACCCCCTTACAATTATGGACACAATACATGAGTAGACAAGTTTATTCCATTGCATTGCAGACATGCCAGTCTATACCCATATACATACTTACGATGTCTCTTCACATCAGTGGTGTATCCTGGTTTTGTGCTGCCCTAGGCAGGACAAAACGCAGGCGCCCCTCCCCTCCCCCCGCGCCAACCCCCCCTGCACCAACCTCCACCCCGCCTTCTAAATACACACACACACATTCACTGACAGATACGCATACACTCGCTAACAGAAACACACACACACTAACAGACACACTCACACTCACTAACTGACACACACTCACTAACACACACACTCCCAGGCAAACACACTCACACAGTCAGATACACACACACTCACTGACACACTAACAGACAAACATAGTCAGACACACACAAACAGACACACTCACTCACTAGCAGACACACACACACACACTAACAAACACACACACATTAACAGACACACACACACTCACAGGCAAACACACACTCACTGACACACACAC